CAGGAAAATGAACTGGGATTTTCTGTGGCCTCAGTTTTCAGAGGTAAAGGTTCTGCATAAATGCTGTACTGGAACAGAAATCCTATTGAGGAAGCTTTTCATGAATTCTAGTGGAAATATAATGGCCATGTTAATGTCACTTGAATAAACACCAATTACTTCTCTCAGAAATAGTACAGATATTAGAATAAAGTAATCCATAGTAATCAGAGTTCAGATATATACTATGTGCTGATCTTGCCTTTTAAAGACAATATTGCTTATTTTGTAGCTTTAAAGAAGCATAAGAACAATACTAAAAGCATTAGCACATAGGCAACTTGCTACTCACAGGGTGGAGAAATCTAAGTGAGGGTGTACTTCAAATGGAGTACCAGCTGCAGGAGTTTCAACAGATCTTTGAGCAGGCTCATTCTACATATAGCAGCTGAAAAATAGGTATTTGATCACATATATGTTTTTTTTGCTTACAGTAAGACATTTTGTAATCTTGGGTTGTAATAATAGTTTTAACTGCTCACAAAACAGCAAGGATGAAAACACTTGGTGGAAATTTCCTAAATTAGCATGCCAAAATTGTCTAAGGGATGAGCTGAAATAATTTGAGAATCAACACTTTCAGGTGGAAAGGGAAATCTTAGCACCTTTGGAGGTCACTTTGCTGTCATTTAGATTCTGCAGTATGTATTTACAAGTGTTGTTTTAGGTGAAATAGGCCAGATTAAGTATCAAAGTAGGTATACTGGACTTGGTGGTGTTAGGTTAATGACTGGACTCAGTGATCTTAAGGGTCTTTTCCAACCAAACTGATTCTATGGCTTTACTTTCAGTTGATTTGGCTATAACCAAAGAAAGAGATGCAGATAATTAGTCTTAGTTTGTTTTAATACATTTGTAAAAAGCAAACTAATTTCTTTATATATTTTTAAATCTTATTTCAGTTTAGAACCCGGCATATTAGGATCCCATTTCAGGGTAAGAGTTGTTTTTTTTCTTTAGCCTTCTCTTAACTATATCTTTAAAATATTGCATTAAAATACTTGGTTGATATTTATATTGTGAAAAATTTATAATCTTATTTGCTTTCAAAAGGCATTAATTTTTAAAATTTCCATTTTTCACTAAGTAAAAGTATCAGTGTCTATAATGTAAGCATCAACAACTTAACAGCTTCTTACACTTTTAAGCTGAATTTGTAATATTAATGGCCTGTAGTCCCACATTCCTGCACATATAAAGTGCTGAACTATAGTAAATATGACTCTGCATGTTATTGAGTTGAAACATTCTTTTCAGATTAGGGAATGAGACCCTTTAGGTTACTAATCAAAAATGAATTTTTACCCTCACTCCACTTTCTGAAGTTGATGTGTGGTTTCTGTATCTCACAGGAGAAGGTTTTTAACAGTTCTGAATTGGATTGACTAACAGCAAATAGGAGTTTATGATTTGCAATATTTTTTTTCTATATTTGTAGGTATTCTGAGCAAAAATACAATTTTTTTCAAGAAGAATCTTGTATTTATATCTTTAGCTTTTGGTGTTACAATGTGGTAACTTTGTTTTACATAGATTGGTACAAGTGATCAAAGTATTAAATGCTCAACACATTTTATGTAATGCCAGGAATAAATTCTAGAAGTACTGTTTTAATGCACTCTGATCATATTTAGGTCTTGGTATGTAATTACTGTAAAACACATGCTGTGGAAGGTGTGGTTATTTTAAGTTCTCTTTTCTACAGTGGCTCTCAATAAGAATATTAAGCTGACAGTGGATACTCTGGATTTGAGAAGGCTTGGCTTGTGGAGAAGTGATGGTGGCTGTTCTTCAACAATGACCATTTTCCTTTGGTTGTCTGAAGATTATGTAGAAAAGATTGAAACCCAATTAGGGAAGTTAGTTACCAGCAAGCCATGTGAGTAATCTCTTCCTTTAGATGCAATGACAAGGTCCAATATGTGGCATGTCAATAAATAGTTTATTTTACAGTGGTGCTTCTGGAATACTGAGGAAAGCCTATAGCTTTTTTAAGATCATCTGCTCAGTTTTGTTTTTCTAAAATGCCTTTCTGTACTTTTATTTGGAAGAAAAATCTCCCATAATGTGATTCAAAATCACTGCCACTTAATAAAAAGACCTTGTAACACAGTTCAGCTGTAATCTGAGGAGATCTTCTGAAACTAGGCTTGTGTGTGAAGTATCTCTCCCTTTAAAATAAATGGGATGTCTTTCCTTTTGAGTAGTGTATATGCTAGATGAAAGGCTTGGCAGATAAAGGTTGGTTTCATCTCCAGTAAGGCTGCAGTAGGCCATTGCATTATCACTATTGGAAAAAATTTCCACTGAAGACCAAAGGGGCTGTATAGCCTACAGGGTCTTAGGGGCTGTCTCTCTGTTTTTCTAGTGTGAACCTCTGTAAAACTGAGTATAACATTTGCTCAAATATTCAGAGTGGTATGATTGCACAAGGTTTTTACATGATCCAAAATGACATCTACCAAGATGATGATGTCAGAGTTGCCTGTGTGAAGTTTAAGTGTGTTTATCCTGGCCAGTCACCACCTGTAGGAAGAAAAATGGCAAATAGTTGATGTTACCTAAGGAGCATTAGTAGTTTCAAGTGAGATGCTGAGTGAAATTTTAGCAGTGAGTTATCTTGATGTAAGTTTATCAAAGTCACTGGTAGCTTCTATAAACAAAGCTCCCAGTGAAATGAGCAGAATATGAGCATTTTTTGATCTTAGGGTTATTTATTTGACTACATTCTTGTTGTAGGAGAAACATTCAGGAGTTATTAAATTTCTGTGCTTGAATGTTTTATGCCTTTTAAATACGTAGTAATGTAGATGTTTGGAAATGTATCTCAGGCCTCTATTTTCCCACACTTGTTCCTTTGCAAATCACCTAAATGCCTCTCTTTGCCTGCCTTTTGGTTTTTCCTTTAAACATCCCATAATAAGTCCTGTGCAGTTCCCAAATACTCTTCCCCTGTGTCGCATCCTATGTGCCATAGGCCTCAGCAGCAACCTCTCCAAAGGTGCTCTGGCATTGACTCATCTGGATGGGTTTCAGGTCTGGACCCTGTGGCTGAGACTCTCCTGGGACAGCCCTGGGGAGGGCTCAGACTGGGTGTCCCTTCCTCCCAGTCCTTAACTCAGGTTCCTACCTGCCATTGTGCCTCTCTGCATCTCTGGGCTTTGGTGGGCTCATGGCCCCTGTGATGAACTAGGCAGGGTGTTAATTTGTCTCCCTCTTCTGCTGTTATCTCTGCTCTTTTGTGTTTGTGTAGACAAGTTTTTATCATATAATGTAATGACACTATCCATTATCTCCTTTTTCCAGCCAAATCTAGTGAATTTTTATTTCTTGAACTGTCCCAGCCACTCACAGAATTGGAAGAGGACTGTCTGGCTGAACTGGTTACAGTTGTGAGCAAGAAGAACAGAGCACCAGATCTCTCTGAGTTTTTGTCTTTGAAGCAAGCATTACCCTTGTTTAAGGATCTTTCTCCTCAGGAGAGCTCTTTTGTGAGTTACAGTAAGGATCTGCTAAAGCACTATATGCCAAAAGAGACTACCTCAGATGCTCCTGAGCCTGCAGTTCAGGTCAGTGTGTAGCTGTTGCTTGATTCATCACCACCTGGTGGCATTCACACATTCTAATAAATTTTAGATCAACCTTCTTTCTTAATCCAGAACTCAAAAAAACCCCAATTATTTTTGTTATTTCTCTCTGACAATGGGGCAAGATCTGGAATAATCTAGATTGTGTCTGCAGAGGACTAGTGTATAGACTTCATTAGTAAGTGGCAAATACTGAAGCTCTAGGTTGACTCCTGGCCATATGCCCAGAACCACAGGGATTTCCTGCCCTTCTGGTATCTCCAGGGCAGCAAGTTGGAAGTTAATCAGGTAACAAGTTGATGGAGCCATTTTTCAGTGGAACTGGAAGTGAAGGGGGGTGCAGCAGGAACTGTGTATCTTGCTTGTACCAGACACCTCTACACATTCTTTTGGGTGCTCCACAGCTTAAAATGCTAAACTGTTCCCAAGCTGCTGGGAAGATGGGGCTGTGGAAGTTAATGCCTCAGCCCAACCCCATGTCATTGTCACTTTGGAAATTAGATGTGTTTGTGGTCCTTGGTTAAAAGCTCAGAGACAACAGATCAATCTGAGTGTGAAACTGGGAGCTTAAAAACTGAACCAGCCAGTTCAAATCTGTATCAGTTTTAGGCAAACCTTCCAAGCATACACAGCTCCTAGAAGGACAGTCTGATACTTGTCTCCATCCTTTCAGGTCCTCTTTCTTCTCTAAAACCAATTCTGCATCTGATGGCTGAATAATGCTTAAAGAATTTTAGAGGGAGGTTATGAACAGACGAAGACCTCTCATAATTTTAAAAGGGACATAATATTTTTATCTGAGCAGTGGCACATTTGCCTAAATACTGATCTTTATACTTCTTCTCCAGCAAGATTCTTCTTCAGTGATGCAGGGTACTTCTGTGGGTGTCAGACTTTATATTAATTTCTTTTTGTGTTCTGTTTTACATATCAAGATGTATAAGGCTTTTTACTATTATTCTTTTTTGTTTGTTTGTTTGTTTGTTTTTCTGTTAGGAATCAAAACCAAAAGTGATCAGGCCTAGTTATGCCCTTGCAAGCAAGCAGAGCAGTGGTTGCTATTCTATCTCTATGTCCTCAGCACTGAATGAAGAATGGAAAGAAGTAAGAGAAACTGGAGCAGTGAAGAAGTAAGTATATTTTATATAAATGAGAAGGTGAAAATAAAAGTGTTTCTCAGAGTTGCAGTGTGTATATTTCTTTTGTAACACTTAAGTATTGGAGGAAGAAATGGTAAAGGACTTTTGACTTTGTCAATGTTTTTGAGAACTACCCCTTTTTAACAGCTCTTCTAGAAAATCTATGTGTGGAGCAGCCATACTAAGAAGAATGTCATGTAAAACACAGTTTATCATTGTTATAATGTTATTTGTTTCCTAGTTTAATTGTTTATCCACCTCCACCTGCAAAAGGAGGACTGGGAGTCACAAGAGAAGACCTAGACTGCTTAGAATATGGAGAGTTTCTCAATGATGTCATCATTGATTTCTATCTTAAGTAAGTAATCATAGCCTTAATTGTTCCATTCTTTCTGGGACTTGAATGTTACTGTAAATATTGGTCTCTAAATATGGTACAACTTCAGAAGTAGCAGTATGATGAATTTGTAAGTTGGGTGTTGTTAAAGCTTTTGTGTGTTGTTAGCAGTTCAATGTGTTTCATTTTCATTCTTCTTGTCCCTCTGAAGGGCTGTGGTAGAATCCAGGCAGGATAGCTGGGGAAAATAAAGCCACTTGGCAGCTCCACAGAACAAAGTGCTAAGAAGTTTTAAGCAAGCAGTTGAAGAGAGTAGAGAGTCATACTAGTAGTTGATTTACTAAGTTTGCATGAAGTGGAGCATCCTTTGCTATTTGGGTGCAAGAGTTCAGGAATTGTACTGATGCATAGTGCCTGCAGAAAGGAGCACAGCTAAAACACCTTCAGGAAGTTGTGCTTGCCTTACCTGCCTCATGCCATCCTGAGAAGTTTCTTGTGAAAACAAGTTTTCCAGAAACAGCATTATGGCCACAGTTCCCTAAAGTTGAGGTTTATTTTCCTTGTGCTGACTTAAACCTAAGCAGAATTTGGGTTCTTTTGAAGATTGTCTGCAAGAATTGCATTTTGCTTGGCTGCAGTAACTGAGCAATAGGAAGCCAGTTAAAACTTCTCTAGAGGAGTGGGGAAGCAAACATATACCAGAGTATTTCAGTGTGGTTTTACAGCAAAGCCTCCTGCATTTCACTCCAAAGTAGAAATCAATCATGCAGCATGATCCTCTCAATAGCTGTGGCTTCATCTCATCAGCAAAGGAACATTTGAGTAAAGGAATTTATTAGTAGTTGCTTGACTGTTACATGCTCTGATGTTGTCTACTCATGTGCCTATTGAAAATAGAGAGAAAAGTTTGGCATAGTGAGCATCTGTGAAGGAAACTGATAGTAAGTACAACCTGCGTATGATAAGTCATTAAAATAATTGCCCTTTTTTATCAGTAACAGTGCTTTCTAGAAAAGGAAGTCATTAATTCCCTCATTTTTCTCTCATAGGTACCTGTTGTTGGAGAAGGCACCAAAACATCTTGCTGACCGTACGCACATTTTTAGCAGTTTCTTCTACAAGTGCCTCACCAGGACAGAAAAAAACTCTGAGGGGGATCTCAAAGTTTCGTAAGTTCAGTTTATTTTCTAGTCATAATGGCACATAAAATAGGTGTTGATGCCACTCAGAGTTTTTGCAGATCACCTTTGAATTGACACCCAAAGTAGTAGTTAGTGTTCTCCAAAGGTTTAGTGGTTAAATGTTGTAACTCACTGGTGTTTTTCTGAATACAAATGAAAATGTTACCAATTGTATCTGAATCTTTATTTTAATCCTTACTTCAAACAATTATTTATGTACTTTCACCCAAAGTAGTAGTTAGTGTTCTCCAAAGGTTTAGTGGTTAAATGTTGTAACTCACAATACTGGTATTTTTCTGAATACAAATGAAAATGTTATCACCTTTCCCCAAATGTATCTGAATCTTTATTTTAATGCTTACTTCAAACAATTAATTATTTATGTACTTTGGTCTTTTTATTATCAACTCCCAGTTTCATAACATATATGCATCATTTTGAGTAAATGCACTTATAAAAATATTTTTATGATGTAGCCACTTAACTCAAAGACCCTTTTGCTTCCATTTCTTCACACTGCTTGGGTAGTAGATGGAGAAAGCTCCTTCCATAGGTGTCTTCCCAGGCTGCAAACTTTTAAGTTCCCAGTGTGTCTAGAGACATGTAGCAGAGAAATTTAGCAGCAAGTCTTCACTTCATGGTGGCCCGTGTGGAGGGTCCTACAGCAGCCTGTTTTTCTATTCCTCAGACCTTTTCTCCTGTTCCTCCTATACTGAAGTTACATTTCTTGATCACAGATCAGGATAGAATCAGAATGGTAACAGGCATGTCTCCTGAGTAGAAGGAATTTTGGTTTCAGATCATATGGAGCAGAGTTCTATAAACCATTGGTTTCCATTTCAACCTCTGCAAACTGAGGGTGCTGAAAATCTAAATTTAGGTTTCTTCCCAAATTTTTCTTACTCTCCTAGTATACTGTCCTCATGCTTTATGTCTGTAGGACTGGAAGTGTGCTCCAGCATTTAAAGCTCAGGACTGGCAGAAGTCTGTTTCAGTTCTGGCTTTGCTACAAGTGTGTTACATGACCCTAGGCAAGGCTGTTTTCCCTTCCAAGGATAAGGTCTTCAGAAGTGGTATTATGAAGTTTAAATTATGGATGTTTGTAAATTGCTATCTGTTTTTACACTGGCTGGTGCCTAGATGAGATTGTTGTGTTTAGTGTAGTAAATAATAATTACTGAATAAATTTATGTTTTCTCTGTTGGGGAAATTTAAAAAGTAAATTAAAAATCTGTTGAGGGACTGAGGAGATGTAGGAGTACCAATCCCTACACCTTGCTTTAACTCAAAAGAACAAATCTGAACAATTGTAAATTGGTTTCTGCAGAGCAGCCCAGAGAAGACACAGAAGAGTAAGAACGTGGACTCGTCATATAAATATCTTCAGTAAAGATTATATCTTTGTGCCTGTGAATGAGGAGTAAGTCTGTGTGATTTAGACACCTTTTCTGATGTTATAAGATGTAAATATTTTAACATTGTGGTGATAAAAAGATTTATAAGCTTGCATTGTTGGGAACAAACACATTAGATTTTGAAGAAGTAACAGGTGTGGAATGAGTAATTCTGAATTCTCTTCAGAAGTTACTTATTTAGTTGTGTTCAGTAAAGTTTGTGTCTTTTTTGTTTTACTGAAAATTGCTTTTATATGTTTTTTCAAACTAATTTTTGTCTCATTATGATGAATTAGATTTTGAAGAAGTAACAGGTGTGGAATGAGTAATTCTGAATTCTCTTCAGAAGTTAAACTTATTTAGTTGTGTTCAGTAAAGTTTGTGTCTTTTTTGTTTTACTGAAAATTGCTTTGATACATTTTTCAAATTAATTTTTTTCTCCTTATGATGATTGTTGTGCACTTAAGTAATATTTTGATAAATCCATCACAGCAACTCATAGTATTTGTGGGTCAGGAGTAGTACTTGCACACTCTGTGCCTTGGCCTGGTAGAATAACTGACCTGTACATGAAAACTCCAGTAAAACTGAGTAGTCCTTGAGACTTAGGTATGTGAAACAGCTACAGAAGGAGATGAGTCTGGAAGCACACCATTCCTTCAGCTGTATTCAGTCAACACTGGGATCAGATTTTCTTACTTTTTAAGTTTTTTTTCACAGTTGGGTAGTGAGACACTGGTGATTGCTGTGGTGTGTTTGTGGTTTGGGTTTTTTTAAAGGAATCAATATTTTTGCTGTTATGCTGCAATGTAAAGTAGAAAATGAATGAGAGGATCAGTATGAGGTGCAGTGAAGGAACATGGCAACAATGGTTATGTCACAGAACAGTTGTCCATGAGCTCTCCATGTTATAAAAACTTCTCATATCCTTTCAGGACTAAATGTTATACAGTTCTGATGGTTTTTTATTCTTTCTCCTCTCCCCACTGCTGGGCAGGTCTCATTGGTACATGGCAGTTATCTGTTTTCCTTGGTTAGAAGAAGCTGTGTATGAGGAGTGTCCTGATCAGGATTCATTGTATCACCAACCTCTACAGTCTGCATTCCAGTTAGAGACTGAGGACACTAGAACTGGTTCAGTGTTGTCCTTTCCTGGTAACTGCAAGGATGAAGAAGAAATGGATGCTAATGGAATTTTATTCTCAAAAGGTAGGTAACCTAGAAGAAAGTGATGGTGTCAAACCATATACAGTTGTAACAGTGCCTTAATTCTCAAAGGAGGGATATGTCTGAATAAGTATCTTTCATATCAAGAGTCCTGTAATATATTTCTGTATTGCCATGCATAGCAAAATGTGCACTGCATTCTTGTCTGCAACTCTGGAAAATATTGAAAGGGACATGTAAAAATCAGTGACTCAGATCCCATCATGAGTGGGAAGTTCCTGGATTTCAGTAAGAATTTTGTCAGTAAGGAGGATCCTCACTAACTCTGCTATTTGAACATTCAGAAGGGAAGCAAAATCAGTTTATACTTCACTACTGTATTTTGAATATTAATAACAAATATGAAAGTGAAAATATTTCAGCTAGGAAATACTTTAAGACTTTCTTTTCTTTTGTACTAGGTGGCAATGAAATTGCTGCTTCTGCTTCAGCCTTATATTCAGGTATCTCTGAAGTAAGTGCCTTTTTGTGCTGACAGAGGAAACATGTAGTGCTCTTTCTGAAAGTTCTGAGACTTGAGCAAGTGATGTTGCACCATCTTTTTTTGCAGCAGCTGTCAATGTTTGTGTGGCCTGCAGCATGTGCAAGGCACTTGGAACTGTGTTGCCTATACTATGCTTTCATGTGTTTTTTAAAAATATCAGCTTCTCCCTTTCTGAAATGTGAGTCTCTCTGGCTTTGTTTAAATCTCTGAAGACGTTTTGAGTTTATAATTGTAGGGGTTCTAAAGGTTATTTTTATTTTCTCTTCTCCCAGATCTCCCTAAATAATTCCAAAAGGCAGATTTGTAAAAGGTATGTTTATGTTTTTGTACTAATATTTCATTATTAAATTAAGAAATCCTGCATCAATTAATAAAACCACAGCTGTAGGGGCTTGTCAATTTTTTCCACACTTGTTTAGATATTGATGCTCTTGTTAAGCTGTGTTGAAACAAAGTATTTGCTTTAGTAGTGTTGGTAACAAAAGACTAAAATGATTTCTTTGGTTGTGTTGTTTACAGGCCTTGTATACTCATCTTAGATTCTTTGAAAGCTGGTTCTGTGCAGAAAACAGCTCAGGTTCTGAGAGAGTAAGTAACTACAGTTTCTGTTTGTTAGCAAGAGATGCTGCTGGTCTCATTTCTGTGTTCAGAGTGCTTTTCATACAAAGGTGCATATTTCTGATGCTAAAGGAAAATCCCTAAAGAGTCACAACTAAAAAGTGGGTTGCAAGGGTTATATTGGTGCAGTTGTAACTGAAATTGTCTGTAAGGTGAATTCTAAGGGTTTATTTGCTTAGGTTAAAGAAAAAAACCCACACCATTCATCTCTTAGGATCAACAGGAAAAGCCTGTGATGGTCAGGAAAGATTACTTGAGTTCTTCCTTTAGTTAAGGTTTCAAAATGTACTCTACCTTAATAGCTTGAAGAAATTCAGCACAAATAACTGTTTTTAAATAATGTCATGCATCTTTCTGTTTTGGATATTGCATGTTATGTTGTAGAGATGTCTCTGAATGTGATAGTGGAAATCGTGTTGTTCCTGGTCTGAATTTCTGTGACAGATACTGTGAAAGAATTTGGTTAATGCTAATTTAGCTTTTTGATCAGCTCCAGTATTTTGGGATGCTGAGTAGTATCCCAAAATGCTTTGAGCTTGGGAGGTAAGTGTTTAATCTGTTTGCTTTCTTTTGTAGGTACCTGGAAGTGGAGTGGGAAACTAAACGAAAAACACATCGAGAATTCAGTAAATCAACAATGATTGACCTGTGTCCCAGAGTGCCTAAACAAGATAACAGCAGTGACTGTGGGGTCTATTTGCTGCAGTATGTGGAAAGCTTCTTCCAGGTACAGAGGGAAAGTACCTTCCCATTTCCCCATATTACCTTAAACAAAAAAAACCCAATTGTTTGAGGGAAATAGCCAGACACGAAAGCCTGTGATGCTCAGCCTCAAGTGTCAAAGCCATTTGAAGAAGGGGAGATAAAATCCATCCTTCATGTAGTGGCAGGGTCTTTATATCTGGAACACACAGTTTCTCATCTGTATTTGTTGGCAAACATGTCTGATTGTGAAGTTTAATGTCACTTCATTGGCACATTCAGTATCCGTACCTTTTTGGAAAGCCTGTGATGCTCAGCCTCAAGTGTCAAAGCCATTTGAAGAAGGGGAGATAAAATCCATCCTTCATGTAGTGGCAGGGTCTTTATATCTGGAACACACAGTTTCTCATCTGTATTTGTTGGCAAACATGTCTGATTGTGTAGTTTAATGTCACTTTGACACATTCAATATCTTTACCTTTTTGGATGCATTTGGAGTCTATTTAGTTTACACATTTCTGACTTACAGATGTTAGAGGCATCTTTTCTGTGCACCTGTTGTAGCCTCTAAAACTTTGGTCAGTTTGTGCATTGGCCCTTGAGTGGCTCTGCAGGCAGCAGCTTCTGCAGAGAGAGGAGGGGGAATCTGTAAAAGGGAATGCACAGAGTTGAGGGAGCCTCTTTGCTGTTTAGCACATACCTTTAAACATCTACAAATGCTGGGCTTCAGGCCCTGGATCTTAGGGTGTTCTCATCTCTTCCTCCCCTCTGAATGGCTCTGCTTCTTTGATGCCTACACATGTGGTCCACGTTCTCACAGAGTCCTGTGCATGGAAAGTCCTTTGTGGGGCCTTGGGCAGTGGGCTTTTCTTCCATAGTAGAACAGATTGCCATTCCAAAGCACCTAGCACACAGCTTGGGGAATAAATGGGAGGAATTGGAGATAGGTGTGCAGTTGCAGGGCTGTGATCTTGTTGAGAACATGTGGTGGAATAGCTTACAGCACTAAAGTGCTGTGGTAGATGGATATGGGCTCTTCAGGCAGGACAAGGAGAGCTGCCCTTGATGTGAGAGAGCAGCTGGAATGCATGGAGCTGTGCCTTGTGCTGGATGAATAGCCCACTGAGAGTGTGTGGGTAGTGACTGAAGAAGAGACTAGTGTGGGTGACATAGTAGTGGGCATCTGCTGTAGGCCACCTGATCAGGAGGAACAAATGGATGAAGCCTTCTACAGACAGCTAGAAGCAGGCTCATGTTCATAGACCTTGATCCTGGTCTGACTGCCAAAGCTGCCAGGATCTGATCTGCTGTCCTCTTTTGTTTCAAATTCCACCCTTCTTGTGCCCTGCTAAAGCTGCTAGCAGTGGTCTTGCTTCAGTGTTGTCTTCCATCAGATAGACCAGCTCATGACAGGAATAAACCCCATGCCTGAGAGAGCAGAATCTCAGCATGCCTAGCTGCTCTATGTTTGATCCTTCCCTAGGACCACAGTGCATCTGTCTGGTTGTGTCAGAATACAGGGAATCTGCCCCAAATCTTTGCTTATACTGATGTATCTTTCAAAGAAGTGGTGATGACCTGTTTGGTATTTAGCATGAGTTGCCTGTGGTAAGGGCATCTACATGTGTGATTACCATGGAGGAACTGGAATTTGACTTCAAAGCCTCCCACTTTCTCATGGAAATTTGTTTGTACCTCCTTGATCTCAGCAGTAATGGGTTTGAAATCCTTTATGATAGTTTCTTTAGGAAATTCATGCTGTAAATATTCCTTTTTCTCTTACCAGAATCCCATAGTTAACTTTGAACAGCCACTGCATCTGGAGAAGTGGTTCCCTCGTCAGCTGATCAGAAGCAAGAGAGAAGAAATTCGAGAGCTGATCTTGCAATTGCACTTTAAACAGCACAGTGGCAGCAGCAGCTAATAAATCTAATAAGCCAGACCTGGCAAAGAACATTGCTGTATAAAGTAGCTGGGACTCAGCAGCATTTGGACTCTTTCTGCCTTCTAAGGAAGAAGAAAGGAGAGAAAAAAAAAAAAAAAAACAAAGAAAAAAGAACCATGAGAAGTATTTTAAGTGTTTTCTTTGTCCAGTGTGTATTTATTTAACTTTTTTTTTGCTTGGATTGTGTGGTCATAAAATGCAGTTGGGGGGAGGGGGGAAGAGAAAGTTGTAGATAAAAGTGTAAATATGTAAGTTAAAGGTAATGTATATGTATTGCTAATTGATTCTTTACTTGGAACATGAGAGCTGCACATAGAGGTGTGCACCACAAGGATGCAGAAATATTTTCAGCTTTTGGAGTCTGTTCTTTACAGTTCTGTATATACATGGATGATCAGGTAGGAGTCAGGCCTGAAGACAGGAGTTTGACCCTATACTGTGTATCAATTTTACAGCTTGTACAGATGGAATGAATACTATGTATTGTTTTAATTTAAGGATCTAATATTGACTCTCTTTAGAGATGTATTTTTTGGTTTGATTCTGATTATATACAGAAGTAGTCTGCATGTGTCAGAAAAATTCTGCCAATATTTGAGGCAGCTGAGTTTTGATTTGCCCCCCAGATTTTCATCATAAAAATTTCCATGATTGGAAGACCATTTTCTTGAGAGTGACAGCTGAAATTTTTAAAAATCTAGAGTGGAATTTTGTTTGAAGCATTTTTCAGAATTTTGTTTTGTTTACTGTGTTTTAGAAGAAATCTTCCTCTTGAAAGTACATGTGGATATAAGGCATGTAGGCAGTAGATTTTTAATCCTCTTCACCTTCTTTTTGGGAGTTATTCCTGTGACTTACCACTTCACTCACATTAGGAAGGCAAGCAGCTTATGGCTCAACAATCTCAAGTTTGAGGTGTTTGACTGAAAAATAAGGCCATTTTCATTCAGAAAGGTTATTATGTTTTATATGTCTTTAAGTTATGTCATTTACATATAAGACAAACAGGATTTATGCTTTGCTCAGAAGAATTGAGTAAAGGTGCCTGAATATTTGAGTGTCTGAACTTGTACTAGTTTATCAAATCAAGTCCAAGTTTATCATTGTCTTAGTACATATTTATATAGTTTTACCTCAGTGATCATGTAAACCTTTGATAACATTTTGACATGTGCACACTTTTTTCTGTAGTTATTGCACAACAGAAAGTTCTTAGAGGATGCTTTCTCCTGTTACCCACTGTAAGTAAACTTCAGTGTCATCACATCCTTCAGAAGGACCAGAAGGCTAAATAACCACCAAAATCATGTGTCAGAAACCTATTTACAAACCCAGAGCTTTTAAAGCTGGAAGTAGGCTAGAGAGTTAAAAGAAAAATTGGGGGCAACCCAAAGATGTGAACACTTTTATGGCATTGCAGAATTCTCAGGGCCCCTTCCCTCAAGACAACTCTGAAACCTGGCATTTTGAAAATCCATTTATTACTCCAGGTTCTGTACAGTCATCCAAAAAAACCCTCCACCATTGTTTCTCAATCCAGGAAGCATTCTTTCTGGAGAAGAGAGGCAATTTTAAAACAAAATAATTTGCTGAGCACAGTTACCTTTTGTATAGCTGTGAGCAGCCTAGTGCAATTGCTGTAAGGTTTTTGTCTTTGTTTCTACTTTAATTCTGTAGTTTGGCACCACTTCTACCCCACCCTCAACATCTCTCCCCCTCATCCCAGGGTTTTTGTGGCTTTCTTCACTTCAATGACAACATCATCATTACTTAGAGGGATAATCTGTGTATTTATTGTAAGACAGATGGAATATAACATGCAGAAATGTGTGCCCTTTCTCTACACCTTTTTAATTGATGACTATTTTCAGTGTTACCTTATGAAAAAATAGTTTGGGCTTTTTCTTATGGTAAAAGTTTGTTTGTTTTGTTGTTGTTTTTTTTTTTTTTTCTTTTTTTATAAAGTAATTTGTTCTTTTTTAGATTTGACTGTTTTTTAGATACTTAAAAGCAAAAATTATGTCTAAACTTTTCTGAATTGGTTTTCTAACATTAAAGCACTGCCTTTGTAGATTTGTTAGAGATGTGCTATGAGAATACTGATACATTTGATATTAAAGTTCTCCAGAAGTTGCTGAATGTGATTGTTCCCATTCCTGAATGGCTCACCTGGGAAGTGCCCAGGACCACCAGCTGCAACCCACCCCATTCCAACCATTTTGCATTTAACAGGTGTGTGGTGAATGCTTGGAAAGTATCTGTGGAAAAAGCTGCACTCAGGTACTTTTGTGGTTCATTTTTAGTTGCTAGAACTCTCTGAAGGTAACTTCTAGCACATACAAGGCACCAGACTGATTCAGGGATTTTATTGCACATCATCTGCATCTTCATTTTCATAACTGAAATGGTGGAGTGATACTTCAGAGCAAGCCAATCATTGTAAGGCTCTTTACACTGTGTAATTTTGGATTCAAGGCAATGAACTGTAATCAAAAGTGTTAAATGTAGTTATCAGTTTCTTTACAAGAAACTGCTACATGCTGGCTATAGGGACAGAATTTTGCTTCCCTGAAGAAATCTGAGTCATGGGGATCTGTTTAAGGTACTGTTGGTAAGCATGACACAAGGACAAGGTGGAAGAGAAGTGACTTGTAGGAAGTAAATCTTCCAGAAAAAAATAAAAAAAAAACCTGTTTTTTTTAATTGAGAACTGAAGAAGCAAATAATGAAACTGCAAGTATGCTTTTAAAAAATATCTCTGGACTGCTGTGTTTTTCCTCTGCATCTGCAGGCTTCAATTTGAGTCCATCTGTCCTTTTGTGGGACTCACCTCATAGAAATTGACCCTGAAATGAGCTTGCAGGACTCAGTAAGTACTATGCCTTCCAAAACAATAAAAATCTCAAAGCCACAGCAGTAACACTTTTGATAGGGAAGCAGGATGTTGCTTCTGAGCACTGCCCCAAAGACAACATTGTTTTCTAGATGGAAAAGCAGGAATTTGAGAAGGAGACTTGAAAGATCTCAGGATTGAAAGTGCCTCCTTAAATGGTTGAATAAACCCAAATCTGACAGCAGTAATTCTGTCCAACCAAATTGAAGCTGGAAACACTGTTCAAAGATGAAGCACAGGCACTGCACTCAACTTTTGACAGTTGAACAAGGTAAGAGGCACTTGCTAACAGTTCAGAAAAGGAGGAACATTAATAGGTTTACATTACACAGAGTAGTTAGAATGATTGGGTTCACCTCACTTGCTCATTTTTGTTCTCCAAACACCTACACGATGGGAGAGGTGGCAGCATGACAGGCTGTGGTGGCCTGAATTTGCCCAGCTGGAAGGCTGGGCAGCCTCAGACCCTGCTCTTGAGAAGCAGTTCACCAGAGAACTCTAGGAGCAGAAGCAAGAAGTGGTAACTGAGGTGCTTGGCAACAGCAACCACAGGAAATGAACAAGTGAAAAGGTTTTGTCTGACCTAATTGTCTCAGATAAACTGATTGGGAATTTTCTTGGGGAGTCCTGTCACATGCCATAAAGTCAGTTGCTGTAGTCCAGTCACAGGAGACAATGAATAATCTTGGTACTGAGCAGAGTGAGTTTGGAAACAGGGAATGTTTGCCATCATGTAGCTCTTCACTGGGCATTTTTTATTATAGTATGCCTTTATTTTGCATTTTTCAGTTACAGATAAGTAGATTTAGCTTTTTTAATAAATTGCATTTGAAAAACAATGAAAGAACATTATGTGCTGTAGCAGATCTTGGTCACTTATCTTTTTACAGAACTATAATTCAGCTAATCACATTTGTTATATGAAAGCACATGCCTTTGCTTTTTAGAAATACAAATTGTCAGAAAATTCTTCTAATTTTTAGTTGTATAGATGTGACCTTGGTGTGCTGGGTCACTAGAATTATACTTCCATTATTTTCCCTGGCAAGAATATGCTTCTGAATCCTTCTGAACAGATACAATTTGCTGGGGATGAAGAGTTATGCACCTTCTGATGGATTTTGGTCACTGTTATCTTTTACAGAACTATAATTCAGCTAATCACATTTGTTATATGAAAGCACATGCCTTTGCTTTTTAGAAATACAAATTGTCAGAAAATTCTTCTAATTTTTAGTTGTATAGATGTGACCTTGGTGTGCTGGGTCACTAGAATTATACTTCCATTTTTTTTCCCTGGCAAGATTTCTCCTGAATCCTTCTGAACAGATACAGTTTGCTGGGGATGAAGAGTTATGCATCTTCTGATGCAAAGTATTACTGGAAAGGCTTTAGTCAAATCAAGGGAGGAGTGAATTTGCCAAGGTTATTTTGGAAATCTATTGCAAAAGTTGTTTTGCTCGTTTTAAGAAACTTTAAGTGAGGATTGTGCTTTTAGTTATACATTTTGCTGTCATAAATGTAGGAGACTTTCAGCTGTTGCAAATCTACATTTCAGTGCTGAAATCAGTGTTGAATTTAAAATTGATAGCTTGAACTAATGTTAATAAAACTGAATTTATATGTTTAAAATATTTTATCATCCAGGAGCCATAGCATAGAAAACAAATTTTGACAGAGGTGTAAACCAAGTATTTTTTATATTATTCATGTTCTGAGTGTCTTTGACTACTTAGCTGATGAAGAAACCAGCAAATGCTATAAACCTAAAGACTCTCCAGGAAAACTTCTAATTGGGTTTCATACTCATCCTAAAGCACATATATTCTGAGAATTTTCTCTTAAAAGGATTAGTTGTCATACATTTTTGAGGTAAGTTAGCCTTTGCCTTTATAAGCATGTATAGTATTTCTGATCTCACTTCAGCTGCATTTTTGCAGGTTACTGCGAGCAAAACCATTCACGATGTTGAAAGCACCAGTCTCTGCAGAGGGTTAAAGCAAAGGCTGGTCTGTGCTGTTGAATCCAGGATCTTAATAAAGATACATAAACAAGCCTCAAAAGTTGCTCTGTCTATCTAGAGATG